AAGCAGCGGTGCTGAGAGTGGAGCCGCCCGCAAGTCTGACCGGCACGGTCACCCGTGCGAATGACGTACGGGCAACTACCCCCAGACGCCCCACGCAGAAACCACTCACGAAGCTGCTGGGGAGACGGGGTCTCGCTCCGACGCTGCTGCTGCTGACGCTGGCCACTCCCAGAACCGACACGCCGAGCGCCAGTCCCACCGCCACCAGTCCCATCGCCTCCACTGCCACCACTCCCACCGCTGCCTCCACCACCGCCACCACAGCCCCCACTCCCGCCAACAGTCTCACCGCCGCCACCACCTCCACTGCTGCCCCCACCACCACTCCCACTGCCACCTCCACCACCACCGCTGCCTCCACCACCACCCCGGCCACCCTTGCCCTTTCTGCTGCGGCGCTTTGCACTAGCAGAAGCAGCCCTGACGTCCTCAGGAACAGAGACGTCTGCAGCACCAGCAGAGGAGTAGGAGGGGGCAAGGGGGGAGGGGGAACACCCCTCAAAGAAGGGCGGGCGCGGAGTGCCACGAGCAGCACCTACAGGAACTGCACTAGTCTCAGCTGCGAGGAGATGCTGCTCGAGGAGGTCAACAGTGAGGGAGGTGGGGTCAAGAGAGAGAAAGTGGTCCCTGACAGAGCGAAGAGAGTCAGGGAGGCGGGTGACTATAAAGTAGAGAGTGATGTACATCGGGGGCGGGTTCCTGTCAAGGAACTCAGCAGGAACGGCAGCGCGGTAGCGAGCGTCACTAGCGCAAAGGTGGGAAACCAGGTCCTCGTTTGTGGCAAAGGCGGACAGCTCGGGGAACAGGTAGGGCAGAAGGAGGCGGCCTAGATCAGCAGTAGCGGGGGAGGAGTAGCGAGCGACTATAGCGTCGTACAGCGCCTGCGCTGTTCTGTGCCTTCCGAAGTGAGCGCATTCAGCTAATGGCAGGTGGTTGCGAATGGCTAAGCGGGCAGCAGCATCACGAGTAAGCCACTGTGAGCGAGTCGAATTGTCAGCAGTGGCGGGAGGGGCAGTAGCAGCGCCTGACGCTAGGTCAAACAGCGAGACACTGTCCTTAGAATCACTCAGTAGGTACAGCTGCAGGTTGTCTAGCCACGTTTCAAACTGAATCGGTCTGCCCTCATGATCAAACGCGAGAACCCGAAGCGAAGCCATAGCTGTGTCGCACGCAGGATAGCAGTAGCAACTATAGCAGTAGCAGTAGCAGTTGTAGCAGTAGCAGCAGTGACAGTGGGGCTAGGAGCCCGAGGGGGTAGGGGTCGACTGGGCCGGGTGCGCGGGCTAGAGACGAGGCCGGGCACGGGGCTAGGGGCCGACGGGGCCGGGCGCGGGGCTAAGGGTCGACAGGGGGCCGGGCGTGGGCTAGGGACGGGGCCGGGCGCGGGGCTAGGGACCGACTGGGGGCCGGGCGCGGGCTAGCGACGGGGCCGGGCGCGGGCTAGGGACGGGGCCGGGCGCGGGCTAGGAGTCGTCAGGGGGCCGGGCGCGGGCTAGGGACGGGGCCGGGCGCGGGCTACGGGCCGACGACGGGGCCGGGCGCGGGCTAGGGACGGGGCCGGGCGCGGGCTAGGGGTCGTCGTGTGGGCCGGGCGCGGGCTAGGGACGAAGCCGAGCGCGAGGCTAGGAACCGACGTGGGGGGCGGGCGCGGGCTAGGGACGGGGCCAGGTGCGAGCTAGGGAGCGACAGGGCCGGGCGCGGGCTAGGGACGGGGCCGGGCGCTGGGCTAGGGACGAGGCCGGGCGCGGGGCTAAGGGCCGACAGGGCCGAACGCGGGCTAGGGACGGGCCCGGGCGCGGGGCTAGGGGCCGACGGGGCCGGGCACACGCTAGGAACGGGGCCGGGCGCGGGGCTAGGGGCCGACGGGGCCGGGCGCGGGCTAGGAACGGGGCCGGGCGCGAAGCTAGGGGCTGACGGGGCCGGGCGCGGGCTAGGGACGGCGGGCCGAGCGCGTAGACTAGGGGCGACGGGCCGGGCGCGCATAGGCTAGGGGCGACGGGCCGGGCGCGTAGGCTAGGGTCGACGTGCCTAGGGGCAACGGGTCTAGGGGGGGTACTAGCAACGTAGCAGGTGGTGGGCCCAAGGAACCTGCTCTGATTCCATATCAAAATAACGAACGAGAATGAATGAACTATGAAACAGTTGGGTACAAGTACTAACCCTAGTTGGGTTGTACCCCTTATGAGGTACCCCACTATAGCCTACACAAATGTAAAAGCTATAATGTTCTGACACAACGGAGAGGGGTCGGGAAAAGAGACGAGTCAGTAGCGGTCGGGCCACCTAATGACGAGACCCCGTCGCCCGACAATCACCATCCACACCGAGTAGTGGTAGCGATATGGGCTATCGACCGCAACCGTGGATGAATAAAGTAGATGAACACGTGGATCTCCCTGTGCTGGTCGTGGGGAGGGTTAACAACTATAAAATAAGAATATTCGTTGATGGTGGGGCGAGCCACAGTCACGTCAACCTGGCAACAGCCAAAAAAATCGGAGTCAATCTCGACAGGTGTCTACCGGAGATCGATGCAAGGCTGGTGAATGGGACAATGCTGGCGATACGGGACGAGGTGGGACAAATTCGGATGAAGTGTTGCGACAATTTCGGTTTTTCAATGAAGATGCTGGCGACAACACTGGACGGTTGCGATGTGCTGCTGGAGCGAGATTGGCTGCAGCGATACAATCCGACGATAGACTGGACGACAAGAGCTTGCACAATGCTGAGCAACAAGGAACGTGTGATGCTTCTGAAATGGACGGAGCTAGAGCCGACGACGACACGTGTCAACGCGATCACGCTGACGAGGGCGATAAAAAGGGGAGCGCAAGGCTACGCCGTACAGCTGTACGAGGTGGTTGCGTCAGAAAAAAATCGCCAACATTGACACACTCTATGCTTCTGTACTGGACGACGTGGCAAGCATAATTCGGAGGTATCCCGAAACTTTCGCGGATGACCTTCCTGACGGGCTGCCACCTCAACAACCAGAAGACCACAAGATCGAGCTGGAGCCTGGCGTGCAACCAACTATTCGGTCCCAGTGACGGCTCAGCCAACTGAAGCTCGATGAGTTGCGGAAACAGTTGGATTATCTGCTCCCGATGGGATTTATCCGGCTGAGCACGTCACCGTCCGCCGCCCCGATACTATTCACGCCAAAGAAGGACGGAGGCCTGCGCATGCGTATCGACTATCGAGCGCTGAATCGGATCACAATCAAGTCGCGTTACCCGATTCTGCGAGCGGACAATCGTTGGATCAGCTTTGCGAGGCTCGCTTCTTCTCAAAAATCGATCTGCCAGGTGGCTACCATCAAATCCGCGTGTTCGCCGACGATTGCCCGAAGACAGCTTTTTGCACTCGCTACGGCAGTTACGAGTATACAGTGATGCCGTTCGGGTTGACAAGCGCACCATCAACGTTCCAGCTCACCATGAACAGGGTGTTTCGGGACATGCTCGACAAAAAAGTTATCGTTTACCTGGACGACATCCTGGTGTACAGTAAGACTCGAGAGCAGCATTTACGGGATTTGGAGGAGGTTTTCTGACTCTTGCAGCAGAACCGATTGATTACGAAGGGCTTGAAGTGCGAGTTCTTACAGCTGGTGTTGGAGTTCATGGGGCACGTAGTTTCGGGAGAGGGTATTAAAATTGACCCTCGCAAAGTGACAACAATTTCGAAGTGGAAGCCGCCTACGAACATCAGGGAGTTGCAGAGTTTCCTCGGCTTCGTTAACTACGTCCGCCGTTTTGTACCGAATATGGCAAGGGTGACCAGGCCGTTAACGGATCTACTATACAAAGGCGTGCAATTTCTTTGGGGGGAGAGAGAACAGTTGGCCTTCAACGAGCTCAAAAACATTTTGAGTTCACCCCCGGTGCCTCGGCTGGCAGATCCATCTCGACCGTTCGAAGTCGTGATGGACGCCAGCGATTTCGTCGTCGGCGCCGTCCTTCTACACGACTTCGGCAAGGGCTGCAACCAATCGCGTACGAGTCATGGAAAATGCAGCCGCCCGAGCGCAAATACCCTTTACACGACAAAGAAATGCTCGCCATCATGCATGCACTTCGTGCCTGGCGCTGTTGCCTCACGGGAGCCGACGTGTGCCTGATATTTACCACCTTTCTTAAAGGGGGGGGGGGGGTAGTGTAAGGAATTTTCCTATTTCTTTACTGAGGCACCTTATGCGCGTACAACTGAGTTCAGGCTCGGTACGACGACCTCGCCTTCCGAACGTCCACCGCGTCGCCTTCGCGTTTCCCAACCCAAACCAACACCCAACCTTGCGTGGTCCCGCGACCTTGACCTAGCTAGCCTTCGCTGTATCTGTGCTAGGTCTCATTATTCTGACAGTAGTTGTAATCACTTCCACAATATTGCATTCTGCGCAATTCTTCTTACAACTCATAACAGGATCTCTCTAATTTCCTTCCACAGTTTGTATTTGTGCACAACACTATTGCATATGTGCATAGGTAACATACCACAATATGATTACTTTTGACTGACCGAACAAAATAATGGCAAGCCTTACAATTCTTTGCTCTATACTGTACATGATGGCAATCAGGAGCACACCATCTTCTTCACTAAAAAATAAAAAATACCGCAACACAATTCTTAGTTCCAATACCCCATATTTCGAGCGCCACCACCACCGCCTTGGCCCATCTCAGCCGTCCGTTGCGGGGCCTGCAATCTGGACCGTCGCTGCACAGCCCGCTCCTGAAGCTCCATCTTAGACGCAATCAACAACTCTCGATCCCTCGGCTGCCCAAACGCCTGATCTGCACCGTTCACACCACCACCCTCTCTCCCCATACCCATCCCATCTCCATACCCCCCTCCACCGCCCCCACCTCTCTCTCCACCTCCTAACCCTGCTGCCGAAGCTGCGGCTTTGGTTCGGCGCCGCTCTGCCCGTTCCTCTTCCCGAACCATCTCGGCTCGGCCTGCCATAGCTGCAGCTCCGGCAGAGGTGGCTGCTAGTGCTCTCTGCGACGCTGCTGCTGCAGCAGCCGCTGCTGCTGCGGCTGCTGCTGCTGCTGAAACCGCTTGCCCTGCAGCCATCCTAGGAGGGGACCCTCCTTGATACCCCCCTCTCCTCCCATTCCCTTCTCCCCCTCCTCCCATCCCTCCTCCCATCCCTCCTCCCATCCCTCCTCCCATACCTCCTCCCATCCCTCCTCCCATCCCTCCTCCCATCCCTCCTCCCATCCCTCCTCCCATCCCTCCTCCCATCCCTCCTCCCATCCCTCCTCCCATACCTCCTCCCATACCTCTCCTGTCCATATCCCTGCCCTTAGCTGAAGAAGTGGTTCGGGAGGTATGGCTTTCACTCCATTTACCCCCACCCCCACTCGCCCCAGCTCTAGGATATGGGCTCTGCCCATACCTACTCACAAACCCCCCATCTCTCAGATTCACCCCCCCCAGTCCCGCCCCCACACTCCCTTTCAGCATGGATGAAGTGACAGACCCCCCACCTTCTCTCGAGCTACCCCCAGTCATATTCTGCCCGATCCCCGAGCCTTCGCGGCCCATTCCCGGACCTCCGCCGAACCTGCCGCGGCTCCGGGCGTTCGTGCTCTCGCTCTCACTGTAGCTCTCCTCGCCGAACCTGCTCTCGCTGGTAACCGCACCGGCGAGGAACTCCGGGCGGCGCTGAGGGGCGACTCGGGCTGCTACAGTGCCCCGCACCCCTCCTCCTCCTCCTCCTGCTCCTGCTGCTCCTTCCATTCCTCCTCTTCCTCTGTCCCCTGCCCCCCACATTCCTTGAAATTCACTTCGCAATTGCCCTCCCGCTCCTCCTCCTCCTAACCCTAGTGATGCTAGAGAGGTAGCATTGCCCATCCCTCCAACCCCCAAAGCTCCAGTTCTCATTCCCATACCAGCTGCTCCCATGCCTGCTGCTCCCATGCCTGCTGCTCCCATGCCTGCTGCCCCCATACCTGCTGCTCCCATCCCTGCTGCTCCGAAACCTGCTCCTCCCAAACCTGCGGTTCCCATACCTGTCAACCCCATTCCTCCCCGATTCATCAAACCTCCTCCCAGCCCCCCAACACTAGCACCCATGCCGGCAGCACTTAGCCCACCACCACTTAAACCCATACCCCCCATACCACCAGCACTTAACCCCAAATTTCCCACACCACCAGCACTTAACCCCGCACCACCAGCCATACCTCCCCCTAAATTCCTCCCCAACCCTCCTGCTGCCAGCAATTGCTGCTGCTGTTGCTGCAGCTGCTGCCGCTGCTGCTGCAACTGCTGTTGCTGCTGCAGCTGCTGCTGCTGCTGCTGCCTTGCTTGTATCTGAGCGTGTGTCTGGGCCAATAGCATCTGCTGCTGCTGAATCAGGTATTGTAGCTGTTGCGCCTGAGAGGCCCCCGCAGGGGGCGGAGGGACCAAATTCCCACCTGAAATTCCACCTGGTGCTCCTCCTCCCACCCCACCTGCTGTCTGACTGGCAAACCCACCTCCTCCTAATCCACCTCCCCCTAATCCACCTCCTAATCCTCCTGCCCCAAGACCATTCGCTCCTCCACCACCAATACCACCGAAGGCACCACCGCCACCACCACCATTAACGTCCAAACCACCAGCACCAGCACCAGCACCAGCACCAGCACCAGCACCAGCACCAGCACCAGCACCAGCACGAACACCAGCGCCAGCAGCAGCAGCAGCACCAACACCACCAGCAGCAGCATTACCACCTGCTCCCACGTTTTGCCTCAAAAAAGCACCACCATTACCGGCTACAGTGGCACTCGCTATTGGCCTCCTTCTCCCCGCCGCCACAGCAGCAGCAGCAGCTGCGGCAGCAGTGGGGGGTAGTGTTGCCCCTGGTCGAGCCCCTTGTCTTGCTCCAGGCTGCAAGCTGCCGCTGCTCGTGCTGCCCACTCCAAACCCTGCTGCTCCTCCCATTCCTCCTCCCGTCCCTCCTCCCATCCCTGCTCCCATCCCTCCTCCCAAACCTCCTCCCAAACCTCCTGCCAACCCGGCTCCTGCTCCTGCTCCTCCCAAACCTCCATAGCTACTCAACAACTGCTGCTGCTGCTGCTGTTGCTGCTGGTGCTGCTGCTGTAGCTGCTGCTGCAGCTGCTGCAACTGCTGGAAGGACGAACCCCCAAGTCCACCCAACCCACCTGTCCCACCCAAACCTCCCCCCATTCTTCCTCCCACTCCTCCCAAACCACCTGCCAAACCTCCTCCCATACCTCCTCCCAAGCCTCCTGCCAAACCTCCGCCCAGGCCTCCTGCCCCTCCCAACCCTCCTCCCACCCCCCCAACACCCGCCCCACCACCCAACACTGCATTATAAGCACCTCCGTTATAAGCCAAATTCCCTCCTAAAAGCCTTCCCCCTTGCGCCAAATTCCGCTGGGGATTAGAAAATGACGACAGGGAACTACCCCCTATAGACCCCGGCCCTCCCATTCCTACACCCGTACCCCTATACGAGTAAGGGTTATTACCCAAATTATACCCTGTGCCAGCTGCTCCTGCAGGGTTACCAGCCCCTGTTAAACCGCCTAACCCAGTTCCATCTACCCCGGTATTACCTGCAGCACGGGCGGTAAGATAGCGAAGGGCTGCTATATTAGCAGCTGTTGCTCCTGACAATCCCCCTGTTGCTCCTCCTCCTCCTCCTAACCCTGCTCCGCCTGCTAGCCCTCCTGCTCCTAATCCTGCCCCTCCCACCCCTCCCATCCCTCTTAGCCCTCCCATCCCTCCTCCCATCCCTCCTCCCATCCCTCCTCCCATTCCTCCTCCCGTCCCTCCGCCCACAGGTGCAGTCCCCCCTCTCAGCGTAACCACTCTCTGTGCATGTATATCTGTCGTCCCCGTACCTGTTTCCGAACCTAAATCCGAACCAGTCCCAGTCTCCGTCCCACTCTCCGAACCTGTCCCAGTGCTGCTCGTGCCTGTTGCCGTGCCCATGCCTCCCCGCCCTCCCCTCCCGGTCCCTCCAGTTGTTTTCGAATAGATTGAAAGCTCATCTCCAGAAGACCTCCCAGAAACATATGAAGACTCAGCAATTGACCTATTCCTGGGGAAACCTCCTCCTCCCCCACCCCCACCACCACCATTACCAGCACGAGCAGCAGCAGTTGCTGCTGCCGCTACTGCCGCTGCCGCGGCCGCAGCAGCAGTGGTGGGAGGCAGACCCGCATTCAGAAAGTACTGGTTATAAGCCTCTCTCATTGCCGATTCCCTTGCTGCTGCTTCTTCTCTCGACATTCCCCTCCCCCTCCCACCCCTGGTCGTCCCAGTCAAACCAGTCACACCAGTCATTCCGGTTACACCCGTAACACCGGTAACACCTGTGGCGCGACTATTCCCCCCCACGCTACTAGCCGCGCCCCCATACACGCTCTCCGCGCCCCCATACACACTCCCTGTTCCCCCATACACACTCCCTGTTCCCCCATACACACTCCCCGGCCCCCCATACACGCTCCTATCCTCCCTCCCATCGTAAAACATCGACGTTCGGAAGCTTCTGGTAGTTCCAGGGGTTCTAGCCATACTCGCACCCCCCGGGGTCCTAGCAGTGCTCGCCCCTCCTGGAGTTCTGGCACCGCGCCTAACCGCTGCAGATCTAGGCGAGTAAACAGTCGACTCGTAATCATCATACTCCCCATCGTAATCCTCATCGAATTCCCCCTCTTCCCCCTGATAATCCTCCTCATCCCCTGTGTAAGTCATGCTCCCGCTCGCCGATCCCGATCCACTGTAGCTGCTCGTCCGGGCGGGCACTACGAGACGCTGAACGCCGCCCGAGAGCTTGGACGGGGCGGGAAACCCAGGGGCGTCAGCTTGTGGGGGGATGCCTGCTAGGAGCGCTGCTACCCCACTCCCCATGGATAGTAACCCTCCTGATGCCCCTGAATTGGGGTTAGATTGCCCAATTCCCCCTCTCCCAACTCCTCCACTCACTCCACTCCCAGCTCCTTGCAGCAACCGTGACCCGGGGAGTTCTATAAACTCAGAAATCGCCTCCTTCAGCTTTGGAAACTGCACCGGTTTCCCGAGAAACCCGTCCATCCCCACCGCATAGCACCGCTCTTCATCCTCCTTAAGAGCGTTTGCAGTAACGGCTACGATGGGGAGGCGAGGCAGGGCCCCTCGGTGTGAGGAGAGGGGGAGGTTGGAGGGGGGCTGCCAGGCGATTCCGGATTTCTCATCCCCTGCCGGTGCTCCTCTGTGCTTCGCTCGCTCCACCTCCTCCTCTGGAAACACCCCCGTGCGCTCATACTGCCGGATCAGGTAGGCGGCCTGTGGTTGGGGTAGAGATGAACGGGACGGATTGAAAGACAGACGGGAAGGCAGATAGCATTTGGCACAGGTGGCACGGCGTGAATGAAACAGGCAAGCAGAAGGTGGGAGGGGGACGAGAGGGGGAGGTTGGAAGGGGGCTGCCAGGCTATTCCGGATTTCTCATCCCCTGCGGCGCTCCCCTGTGCTTCGCTCGCTCCACCTCCTCTGGAAACACGCCCGTGCGCTCATACTGCCGGATCAGGTAGGTGGCCTGTGGTAGGGGTTGGTGTATGGGTTTAACAAACTTAGAAAGAGTCAAGAAGAGTGAACAAGGGAGTCAACGAGCGAGTCAACCGAAGTCTACCAAAGTCAACGGGAGTCAACGCACTTGCAGGAAGTCAACGGGAGTCAACGCCTACCTGCAGGCCATCCATGAGCGGCATGCAGAGCTCCGTCATTCTGAGTCAACAAGGTAGTCAACGGGAGTCAACGGGAGTCAACGGGAGTCAACGGGAGTCAACGGGAGTCGACGGGAGTCAATTCCTACCTGCAGCCCATCCATGAGCGGCATGCAGAGGTCCGACAGCAGCAGGTCAAAACGCTCCTTCACTCACCACCTCTGATACGTGTCAACCTGAGTCAACCTTGTTTGAACAACTTAGGAGAGTCAACGAGATTCAACGGGAGTCAACGGGAGTCAACGGGAGTCAAGGCCTACCTGGAGCCCATCTATGAGCGGCATGCAGAGGTCCGACAGCAGCAGGTCAAACCGCTCCTTCTTCACTGCCTATGTCTTCAACAACCCTCAATATGCGTCCACAAGGAGTCAGCAAAAGTCAACCCAAGTCAACCGGAGTCAACGCGTACCTGCAACCCGTCCATGAGCGGCATGCAGAGGTCTGACAGCAGCAGGTCGAACCGCTCCCTCCGCACCGCTTCCAACGCCTCCACACCGTTCTTGGCCACTGTGGCCCGCAGCCCCAGGCGCTTGAGCATGGACAGCAGCACCATCACATTCACCTGCAGTAAAATCATAAGGGGCATGGTGTGGGGGGGAATGGGGGGTTGGGGGTCATGGGGAGGCATGGGGGCCAACCCAACACCACCACATGCACTGTGGCTAGCAGCCCCAGGCGCTTGAGCATGGAGAGCAGCACCATCACGTTGACCTGCAATCCAAAAGAAGGGAGTGTGAGGAAGGCAGGGATAAGAGCTGAGTCAAGCTTGAGAGCAGCGGATCAAACGGCATGGCTTCATCCATTCACTCCTCGTTCTTGGCCACTGTGTGTGGCTCGTAGCCCCAGGCGCTTGAGCATGGAGCGCAGCACCATCACGTTGACCTACGATCCAAAAGAAGGGAGTGTGAGGAAGGCAGGGATAAGAGCTGAGTCAAGCTTGAGAGCAGCGGATCAAACGGCATGGCTTCATCCATTCACTCCTCGTTCTTGGCCACTGTGTGTGGCTCGTAGGCCCAGGCGCTTGAGCATGGAGCGCAGCACCATCACGTTCACCTCACCGCACCCCACCTCACCGCACCCCACCCCAACCCACCCCACTGCAGCACTCACGGGGTTGTCTTCAGCCACCAGGATCTTCGTCTCTGGGCCTTTCGCCGAAGCAGGAGACAGAGACGGCAGAGGCTCACCCCACCCCACCCCACCATAACCCCTTCACACTCACGGGGTTGTCTTCAGCCACCAGGATCTTTGTCTCTGGGCCTTTCGCTGATGCAGGGGACAGAGAAGGCAGCGACCCAGCACCTGGCAAGGCGCCCGCACCAGATGCACCTCCCCCAGATAGCCCCTCCCCTGACCCCCCCACCTCCCCTTTCATCGCCTTGGCTCGGGCTAGCAGCCCTGCCAGCCCCCCTCCCACTACCCCTGCTCCCGCTGCTCCTGCTCCTGCTGCTGCTGCTGCTGCTCCCCGTGGTTGACGCAAGTGCTTGGGCGTGATGGCAATCGGCGAATCATCCGTATATTCACTCTCATAATCCCCCTCCTCTTCCTCCTCCTCCGTATACTCATCCTCGCCCCCCCCCCTTCCTCCCCTCACCTGCCCCATGTGCTCCCTCACAGGAGACAGCGCCCGAGCCACAGACCCAGGCGAAGGCCCCGACACAGACACACTCTTGGGAAACCCAAACGGCGCGTTCACAGCCGCAGCAATCGCGTTCGCGCCCGTGGGCGACACGGGGCGGGAGCGGGGAGTGGTGCGCTGGCAGCACACCGAGAACGCAAACACCGACCCGGTTCCCACCTTCGACTTGATTGCCATCTTCCCATGCATCAGCTCTACTAGCTGCTTGCAGATAGCTAAACCAAGCCCAGTGCCGCCGTAGGCCCGAGTGGGACCACCTTCCACTTGGGTGAATTTCTCGAAGAGGAGAGGGAAGGCGTCTTTAGGGATCCCCACTCCTGTATCGTGAACCTCGCACCACAGCCACACGTCCATATCCCCGCCTATCTGCCTCTCCACTGCTGCCGCTTTCCCCTTCCCCTTCTCTGCTCCTCCTGCTGGTACAATCGAGCCCCAGAACCCTCCTCCTGCTCCTCCCCCTCCAGGTCTCAGCATCCCCCCCTCCTCCTCCCCTCTCGTCCTCTCGCTATCCCCATCCTCCTCCTCCTCTTCCTCCTCATACACCTCAGTCGGAAGCTCAGCCAGTAGCGGCGCTGCCTGCTCCAAACTCCCCAAACTCGCCAGCTTCTTCAAATGCTCCTCCGTAACATCTGACAGCAGCGGTAACCGCCCAATTCCCCCTGCCCTTGCGCCCTTATTATGACTGTGCATTTCCACAGCCAGCCCTTTCCCCCGGCCTAGAGTAGCCGCAGCACCGGACCCTCCCGCTCCTCCCCCTCCCGCTCCTGCTCCTCCTCCTCCTCCAGCAACGTTCCACCCCCCCACAGCATACGCGCCAGTAGCCTTCACGATAGCAGCAGACGGGTCCCTATCATGCGCAGACACCCGCAGCAAAATATGCCCCGTGTGTGTGAACTTAATCGCGTTCAGAACCAGGTATTTAATCACCTGCCGCACCCGCAGCTCGTCTCCTAATATCTGCGCCGGAATATCCGGAGAAATATCCGCTAGGACTTTAATCCCCTTCTCCTTAGTGGCAGCCATGGCCATTTTTAAGATATGATTCACCACCGCGACGGGCTCAAAGGGGTGCTCCTCCAGCTTCATCTCCCCAGCCTCCATACTCGCGAGATCTAGAATATCCGCGAGAATATCCGATATGATCACGCCCGATGACATCATCGTCTCGACGATCTCGCGCTGCTCCTCATCCAACGCTCCAGATTCGAGCAGAACTTCGGCCAATCCGAGGATCCCGTTGAGCGGGGTGCGGATTTCGTGGGACATGATGGCGAGGAACATGGACTTGGCGCGCATGGCGTCCTCTGTGAGCTCATATGCGCGCCGCAGCTCCTTCTCCGTTGTGCTGCGCACCATCATCTCTGCTCGTAGAGCCATCAGCCGCTCCTTGTACTGCGCCTGGTGGGGGGAAGGATGGGGGGTTGGGGCGGGGGCGGGGAGGGGGGCTGAAGGGGGCCAGGGAGGCGAGGGGGAAGGACGAAATCAGCAGCAGCAGCAGCAGCAGCAGGAGGAGGGGCAGAAGGCAGCAAGCAGGGGGGGAGGGGTTGGGACTGCATCTCGTGGGACATGATGGCGAGGAACATGGACTTGGAGCACATGGCGTCCTCTGTGAGCTCATATGCGCGCCGCAGCTCCTTCTCCGTTGTGCTGCGCACCATCATCTCTGCTCTTAGTGCCATCAGCCACTCCTTGTACTGCGCCTGGAGAGGGGGGAGGGGGGGAAGGGGGTGGGGAAGGAGGGAAGGGGTAAAGCAGCAGCAGCAGCAGCAGCAACAAGAGGGAGTGGGGAATGAAGGGGAAGAGGGGGTGAGGAGCAGAGGGGAGAGAGCAGCTCCTTCTCCGTTGTGCTGCGCACCATCATCTCTGCTCTTAGTGCCATCAGCCGCTCCTTGTACTGCGCCTGGTGGGGGGGAGGGGGCGGAGGGGGGCCGGGGGGCGAGGGAGCGGGAAATGGGAGAGGGGAAGGGAGGGAGGGAGGAGGGGAGGGAAGAGGAAAGGTTTATCTCACATATCCACACTAGCTGTAGTCAACTGTCAACCCCACAGTTCGCACCTTCTCACTCTCACAAGCCAACGTAACCATACCTCCTCTGTTATATCCACGCTCGATGTTGTCACTCCCACAGTCCGCCCCTTCTCGTCCCTGATTGGCCGGGCAGTTGTCACCCACACCATGGGGGGCCTTCCAGGAAGCTGCCACACCACCTCGCCCCGCTGCGCCTTGCCAGTGGCCAGCGCCCGCTGCTTGATCTCCATCGCCTCCTCCACTCCCAGAGTGCCATGTGGCAGGATGTCATAGTCCCTCTTCCCTATCATGTCCTGAGTGGTGATGGGGATGGGGGAATGGGAGTTGGGGGGGAATGGGAGTTGGGGGGGAATGGGAGTTGAGGGGGAATGGGAGTTGGGGGGGAATGGGAGTAGGGGGGGAATGGGAGTAGGGGGGGAAGGGGAGTAGGGGGGGAATGGGAGTAGGGGGGGAATGGGAGTAGGGGGGGAAGGGGAGTAGGGGGGGAATGGGAGTAGGGGGGGAAGGGGAGTTGGGGGGGAAGGGGAGTAGAGGGGGAATGGGAGTAGGGGGGGAAGGGGAGTTGGGGGGGAAGGGGAGTAGGGGGGGAATGGGAGTTGGGGGGGAATGGGAGTTGGGGGGGAATGGGAGTTGGGGGGGAATGGGAGTTGGGGGGGAATGGGAGTTGGGGGGGAATGGGAGTTGGGGGGGAATGGGAGTTGGGGGGGAATGGGAGTTGGGGGGGAATGGGAGTTGGGGGGGAATGTGAGTTGGGGGGGAATGGGAGTAGGGGGGGAATGGGAGTAGGGGGGGAATGGGAGTTGGGGGGGAATGGGAGTAGGGGGGGAATGGGAGTAGGGGGGGAATGGGAGTTGGGGGGGAATGGGAGTTGGGGGGGAATGGGAGTTGGGGGGGAATGGGAGTTGGGGGGGAATGGGAGTTGGGGGGGAATGGGAGTTGGGGGGGAATGGGAGTTGGGGGGGAATGGGAGTTGGGGGGGAATGGGAGTTGGGGGGAATGGGAGTAGGGGGGAATGGGAGTTGGGGGGGAATGGGAGTTGGGGGGGAATGGGAGTTGGGGGGGAATGGGAGTTGGGGGGGAATGGGAGTTGGGGGGGAATGGGAGTTGGGGGGGAATGGGAGTTGGGGGGGAATGGGAGTTGGGGGGGAATGGGAGTTGGGGGGGAATGGGAGTTGGGGGGGAATGGGAGTTGGGGGGGAATGGGAGTTGGGGGGGAATGGGAGTTGGGGGGGAATGGGAGTTGGGGGGGAATGGGAGTTGTGGGGGGAATGGGAGTTGTGGGGGAACGGGAGTTGTGGGGGAAGGGGAGTTGGGGGGGAAGGGGAGTTGGGAGTGGGGACGGGAAGAAAGGGAGTTGGGAGGAAAAAGAGAAGTGGGAAGGGAAGGAGTGTAAGAGAAGTGGGGTGGCTAGCGCCCTCTGCTTCATCTCCATCGCCTCCTCCACTCCCAGAGTGCCACGTGGCAGGATGTCAAAATCCCTCTTTCTAATCATGTCCTGATTGGACGGTTGGGATGGCGAGGGGGAGGAGGAGAGAAGCCAGGAGGTGGGAAAGGGAGTTGGTGGGGGAAGGGGAGTACAGGGTCGCAAAGAAACATGGAAAGATGAAGACGCCTGGGGCAATATAAGCAGGTGCTAAGGCCGAATTATGAGTCGACCCAAAACCCCTCCATCTTCCATCAGCCCGGATTCACCTGAGCTCTGTTGTTCTCACCTGATTCACCAGCAGGTTGTGGTTGAACACCCAGGTGTATCTCAAACTCGTATCAAGGTGCGCAATAAAAAACGGCACTCTCTCCAAAGCCACCTGAAAATTCACCTGAGCTCTGTTGTTCTCACCTGATTGACCAGCAGGTTGTGGTTGAACACCCAGGTGTATCTCAAACTCGTATCTAAATGCGCAATCATAAACGGCGCTCTCTCCAAAGCCACCTGAAGATTCACCTGAGCTCTGTTGTTCTCACCTGATTCACCAGCAGGTTGTGGTTGAACACCCAGGTGTATCTCAAACTCGTGTCCAGGTGCGCGATCATAAACGGCGCTCTTTCCAACGCCACCTGAAGATTCAACCCGTCACCCGCCCCTCCCATCCCCCCTCCTCCTTTTCCGCCTCCCTTCCCCCCCACGCGCCCCGCTCCCCCCCCAGCAGCCCCGGCAGCATCGGGAAAATAACTCCCAGCACCCATCCTCCGAGCAGACCCTAGCCCTAACCCTAATGCAGCCAGATCTCCCCCGCTGCTGCTGTTTGGAATCATATTCATGGTGATGTTTCCAGAGGGATCCAGGCCTAGCGTCCCTCTGAGTGCTGCCCTGTCACTGCTGGTGCCGGCGAGGGAGGAGCATTCTTGGAGGGCGCGGTCGAGGCGCAGCTTGACGTCTGTCAGTTGTTGTTCCAACGCTGCGAATGCTGCTGTGTCGCCCTGAGAGGGGAAAGGGAGTAGATAGGGCAGGGGGCAGAGGGCGAGGGGGAGGGGGTGAGTGGAGAACATTCGTGGAGGGCGCGGTCAAGGCGGAGCTTGATGTCTGTCAGCTGCTGTTCCAGGGTATTTTTTTTTAGAATTCTCAAAAAACATCGTCTGTCAGCTGCTGTTCCAGGGCTGCAAAGGCCGCTGTGTCGCCCTGTGGAGGAAAAAGGGTTTTTTAACTCTCTTTTCTTTTCTTGCTAAAAGCTTTCCCTAGCACTGCTGCTCTTCCAAGCCATGAGTTACGACGCTGTGTCGTCCTGTGGAGGAAGTAAGGGGAGTGAGCAAGGGGAGGGGAGAGGAAGGGGGGGAAGGAAGGGAGAAGTGTATATGAGGAGGGGGGAAACAGTGGTAATGTTTCCAGCAGGATCCAGCCCCAGAGCCCCTCCGAGAGCTGCTCTGCTGCTGCTGCTGGTGCCAGTGAGGGAGGAGCATTCGTGGAGGGCGCGGTCGAGGCGCAGCTTGACGTTTGTGAGTTGTTGTTCCAACGCTGCAAAGGCCTCTGTGTCGCCCTGAGAGGGGAGGGGAGAGGGAAAGGGGGTGAGGGGGGGGGAGAGCGGGGTGGAGTGGAGCTAATGTTGAAATTTCCAGCCAAATCCAGCCCTAGAGTGGCTTCAAATCCACCAAGTTTCTCAACTCCACACTCTTCCTTTCCCCCCATCCTCATCACCATCCTCTCTCTATTCCCATCCTCATCTACACATTCTCCCTTTCCCCCATCCTCACCTCCTCTTGAAACTGCCACAGCCTGCTCGTCAGCTCATGATTACGATCAGCCAGTGCTACAGCCTGCGCAGTGATGCTCGCCCCTCGCCCACACTCCTTTCCTCCCTCCCGTTTTCCCACCAGCCTCCATCCCCATCCTCACCTCCTCTTGAAACTGCCTCAGTCGGCTCGTCAGCTCCTAGTTACACGCAGACAGAGCCACGGCCTGGGCAATGATGCTCGCACTTCGTCTCTTCTCCCATCTTCACCCTCCTGCCCGAGCATCACTGCGTGCGTACCCACTCTTTCCTCACCTCCTCTTGAAACTGCCTCAGTCGACTCGTCAGTTCCTGATTGCTTTTTGGGTCGACTTAAAAGCCACCTCGTACGTAAGCTTCTCTCGCCTCACCTCCTCTTGAAACTGCCTCACTCGGCTCGTCAGCTCCTGGTTGTGTTGTGCCAGAGCTACAGCCTGGGCAGTGATGCTCGCCCCTCGCCCACACTCCTTCCCTCCCTCCCGTTTTCCCACCAGCCCCCATCCCCATCCTCACCTCCTCTTGAAACTGTCTCAATCTGCTCGTCAGCTCCTGGTTGCGTTGTGCCAGAGCTACAGCCTGGGCAGTGATGCTCGCCCGGGCGTCCTCCGCCTCTTTGATCCGAACCTCCAGACTCGTGGACCGAACCTTCCAGAAGTCCACCCCCTGTTCATTCTCCTCTGAACCTACATGGGGGGAGGGAGATGAGAGACAAGTGGTAAGTGTCAGTGCTTGCCCATGCGTCCTCTGCCTCTTTAGTCCGAACCTCCAGGCTCGTGGACCGAACCTTCCAGAATCCACCCCCTGTTCATTCTCCTCTGAACCTACATGGGAGGAGGGGGGGGGAGAGATGGAGAGACAAGTGGGGGGTTGGTGTGAGTGAGTGATGCTCACCTGAGCGTTTGGGGGGTTGGTTCATTCTCCTCTGAACCTAGATGGCGGGAAGGTAGATGGAGAGACAAGTGGGGGCCGGTGAGTGTCAGGGCACGCCCATGTGTCCCCCGCCTCTTTGATCCGCTCTACGCACTCCTTTTGAGACGTCTCAAATCTTTGATCCGCTCTACGCACTCCTTTTGAGACGTCTCAAAACTTTGATCCGCTCTACGCACTCCTTTTGAGACGTCTCAAAAGGCACGCCCATGCGTCCCCCGCCTCTTTGATCCGCTCTACGCACTCCTGCATGCAACCCCCGAGTCAAGAGTTGTGTGAGCATAAGACGCACTTGCAACCCCCCTCTTCCCGCTGTTCCAAACCAACCCAACCGAACCAGACCGTGCACGAGTGCAAGCAGCAGTGCGCACCCATAATCTTGTCTAGGTCGGTATACAAAGCGTGCGAGTCGAGAGTCGAGAGTGTGAGTGGGCCATGGCAATATCCTACACAGCTTCACCAGTGCAAACAAGAAGCACCGCGCACCCATAATCTTGTCTCGGTCAGGAAGGATACAAAGTGGGCGAGTCCAGCGTCTGTGTGTGCCTCAAGTGCCCGAGTCTAAACAACCTAACGCGTGCACGAGTGCAAGCAGCAGCAACACGCACCCATGATCTTGTCAAGGTCGGGATACAAGGAGTGTGAGTCGAGCGTCGATAGTCTGAATGAGCCATAGCAGCCCCTTATACAAACCAACCCGTGCACCAGAACCAGCAGCAGCACGCACCCATGATCTTGTCAAGGCCGGGATACAAAGCGTGCGAGTCGAGGGTCTGTGTGCGCCTTAGCTCGCCCCACGAACCCTGCGTCCAAGCAACCCCCTCTTTCCCCCAAACAAACCCCTCCTTCCCACCGTTCCACACAACACGTGCACGCACCCATGATCTTATTGAGGCCGGGATACAAGGAGTGCCAGTCGAGCGTCTGTGTGCGCCTCAGTCAAATCGCCTAACGACCCACCTCTTGCGCCCAGAAAACCCCCTCTTCCGCCCAAACCAACCCCTCCTCCCCACCGTTCCAGCCAAACCAAGCAGCACGCACCCATGATCTTATCAAGGTCGGGGTACAAGGAGTGCGAGTCGAGCGTCTGGGTGCGCCTCAGCCCGCCTGATGACCCATGGTCCCCTGCCACAACATGCCATGCCATGCAGTTCAGTTCAGTTGCATGTCATGTCATGCCATTCGATTCATTTCAGTTGCATGTCATGTCATGCCATTCGATTCATTTCAGTTGCATGTCATGTCATGCCATTCGATTCATTTCAGTTGCATGTCATGTCATGCCATTCAGTTCAGTTCAGTTGCATGTCATGTCATGCCATTCAGTTCAGTTCAGTTGCATGTCATGTCATGCCATGCCATGCCATGCCATGCCACGCCATGCCAAAACAGGCCAGACCATGCCATAGCATATCATGATGACATGAGGAGGGATGATAGCGGAAGGAGTAGTAACATTGGATGAAGACGTTGAGAGAAGAAGACGAACCGATTATGAAGCATTTCAGAAATGAAAGTATGAACCAGAACAAGGGACGGATGGCCCAGGATGGGGAGAGCTGGGGAGGAATTGAAGTTTTTATCGCACCAAAACGAAACCGGACTCACTCTGGCTGTCTACTGTCGACGTGGCATGACTAGCAGCGCCGGCTCCGTGTAGCTGTTCCTCCAATGGCGACATGCCACCTGTCGCGAACTGAACCCGCTTCGCAGCATCGCTGTGAGCGCGCTGCAACCGGCCTGACGAAGCCGTTGGATGCGGCGGGGGCAGTCCGGGCTTTAAGGACGAGATAAGCGGCGCGGGCGGTTTATTCTTCGCCATGGCAGCTTAAATAGGATCCTAAAGGCGTAGCTATCTGCTTTGCGAGAAGAATATTGCGTCGCGTTATCGGCGAGCAGTCCGGTGCTTCTTAACGGGGATGAATTGGTTATGTTAGACTACAGTCCCTAGAGTTAGGAGTCAGTTACGATAAACTGTTACACATCGCCGTTAGTAATGGCATCAATTGCTATTAACGGTTGCTATGGGCGTTGTCGGTGCAGACCTGTAGAGCCTCCATTCGCGGAGGCACTCTCGTGTCCTTGCCGAATTTCGAAAGGAAAACTACAAAGAAAGGCCTTGTAATATGCCATTGCGGTTGGCGCGGGTCTCTTTCGAAACAGAGTCGGACACAACGAGATGCTGAGTCACGATTCGTTGAGTCGCACGCGATCAAACGCGGAATAGGCGCTGCGTCGAAACTAATCGCGATGGGATGCTGAGTCAGACCGTGTTCGCGTGTTTCCGGGTCAGTCAGTTTTTACGCAACGGTGCAGCCACGACTGATGACATCGGGACAATGATGTGAGCTGTTCGTGGCTCCGAATAATAACGCGTCGTGCAATATGATAAATGAATCGCGGTGACGATATCTGTCGGCCTGAGAAAAAACGCGAGCATATGCTTTACTGCTCCTAGTAACATGCTTCAGTGTGTCCTGGAAGGAGACTATCATTAACTTCCTCTTCCTTCGCAAGCTCGCTCTTGTAGCTAATCACCCAGTGTGACCCTCATCACCGTTGTAAGCACCATTGGATCACCGTTCGATATATGTACAGACGAGGTTGCTCGAGAAAACGGTGACGGCATGGCTTGGCTTTCATCAAGACATGGCAGCTCGCTTGGTGAAAAGTAAAAACTGCGCTGTGTGGTATATAAATGGCGGTGGTCTAGGGTGTGGTCTGGTACACTTCGCTGGAGACGCCAGCCATTATCACTACGTGCTTGGTACATATCTTGTTGTGAAAGTCGGCCATGGAGGAAAGCTTAAAATAGTCTTCCATTTTTTTTACTGCAGTTCAGTACGGTGCTTTGCTATCTACAGCGCTCGATTAAGCACCGTGAACGGTTGAGTGAGGGGTTGCTGTTTGAGCCTCAACGTGTGGGACACGGCCTAGAAACCATCGATTAATCAGTTGTCGTTAATATGTCGCATGACGCTAACGAAAGCCCACGAACAAACGGGAAAAGTAACGACGACAGCAATCGCTGCGGGACGACGAGCCTAACGACGGGTAACGTAAGTTCCTCTCTGGCGATGCCTTGGGCAATGACGAACAGATACTCTGTCAACTTTCGTTTCCTCCCAACTGCCCGCTCTTGCAAGGAGCCTTGGGAGCTCCCGTCATTATATGCGACTTGTGTGCGACGTCACTGAAGCTGGACGTGCTTGGTGGCGAACCAGAATTTGGCCGCAACTCCCGTCGCATGCTCTTGTGAAACCTTGACTTCGCACTTCCATGCGACCTGACACAGTTCACTTCACTTCATGTGCGCTCCCCGGCACGAGGCAGTGCTGGGCACTTATAAACATCACGTATATAGCGAACTGCAAGAAAATATGTTAACTTATGACAATCTGACGGTCAAGACCACAGGAACAAATTAAAAAAAAAAAAATCGAACAAACAAAACAGACCAAACCATCCACCATTTCGAAAGGCAGTTGATATCGTCGGAATGTTTATACTTTGGGCTTTGCAAAATCTCAAGGCACACCGTTTGTCATCCCTTCATGTGTGACCGAGCAGTAATGCTTGACGATCTGCTGGTCCATGCTCCAATACTTGGGCATCTTGCGCAAAGGCTTGATGTCCAGATCCATTATTGAAAGCTGCGCGTAGAGGAACGGGGAATTCGGGAAGGGACGGGGGGGTGGGGGGAGAGGATGCATGGGGTTGAAAGGGCGGGGAAGGAGGGAGGTGCTCGAATACTTGGGCTTGATGTTCAGATCCTCTATGGACAGATGAATGCAAAGAAATGACGGGAAAGTTGAGGGGGAAAGGGGGTTGGAGGGGGGGTGGGGAGGGGAGGAGGGAGGGAGGGGGGATGGAGGGAGTTGGTCGATATTTGTATGCTTGGGCATCTTGCAGCAATACTTGAAAATGAAACGAGCAAGAAGAAGCGGCTTACCCTGTAGAAATACTTGCAGCCACTGGATGGACACACCACGCTGCGAAGCTTCTGAGAAGCTTCCAGGGTCTCCCCGGGAATGGCTGCGCGGAGGGCCAGCATGATCCCACAGTCCTTGGCCGTTGCTGCGATGAGGAAATCGCGAAGAACCTTCCTGCAATCTTCCGTTATCTCTTTTGGAACCTCAGCAGCAGCAGCAGCAGCAGCAGCAGCAGCAGCAGCAGCAGCAGCAGCAGGAGGGGCTGACGTAGTTGACGTTCTCTGCTTCATAAACTCATTATAAGCATGAATCGTCCCTTCGATGTCCCACTTATCCAGCTTCTGTGCTGCCAACAGCTTCTCCAGCGCCCCACACTGCACCAGGCACTCTGTGGCCAGGGATAGGAGAGCGTCAACCCGAGGGTGACTAAGATGAGGCGCAGAGGATGGTGATTCTGCTGCTGGCAAGCCAGCAGCAGCAGCAGTAGTAGAGGCAGCACCACCACCACCATCACCGCTACCAGCAGCACTGGTATTACTGCTGGGTGCCTCCTTCCAAGCACGTACAAACCCTTCCAGGGCTGCTTCAGCAGCAGCCAAGCCTGCTGCCTCCTGCGCTTTCTCCTCCCTTCTCATAGCTGCTAAATCCAGCGAATTCACTCTTTCAACCTGCGCCTCCTCTCCCACCTTCTCCCCCTTTTCCCCTTTCCCTTTCTTCTTTTTCCCCTTTCCTCTGTCCGCCTGCCTGTGTATATGCCCTCCCAACAGCAACTTCCCATCTGCAAAAATCCTCAGATTGTTCTGGGGGTTATCGATCAACGTTCTCAGAGCAGACAGAACGCGGGGGCGCGAGGAGGAGAAGAGGTCGAGAGGGTTGTATGCACTGCTCTCTGCCACCTCCCCTTCTGACAGCTTCAGCTGCTGGTGCATGGGGAAGCGCGGGACAGCTGTCTTGACGTGATTGGCCGGCATGATGCAGGGGGAGGAGGGGCAGAACCCCGTCTTGGGCTGGAAAGGGGGGAAACGGATCGGGAAAGAGGGGGAAGAGGGGAGTGGACGGGGGTTCAATCAAGGAGCTCAGAGCAGAGGATCTCCACGTGATAAAATAAGTATTTTGAGACGTCTCAAAACACTTCTTAGACCAGAGGGGAGTGGAGGGGGGATCAATCAAGGAGCTCGGAGCAGAGGATCTCAGGAGGCACTTGCACCTTCACCTTGCACCTTCACCTTGCACCTTCACCTTGCACCTTCACCTTGCACCTTCACCTTGCACCTTCACCTTGCACCTTCACCTTGCACCTTCACCTTGCACCTTCACCTTGCACCTTCACCTTGCACCTTCACCTTGCACCTCTCACTCACCTTCAGCTCGATGCAAAATGTCGCCCATTGTACTCGCGCAGCAGCTCCCATGCTCCTTCCCACTTGTAACACTCCCCTCCCCTCCCAGCAACCCACCTGTTTTTCTTCAGCAAGCACCTCTCACCTTGAGCTCGATACAGAACGTCGTGCCATTATACCCGCGGGTCCCGTGCCCGTCCTCCCGTACCGTCTCCTCCCAGTCCTCGTCCCACTCCTCGTCCTCCAGGTGCAGGTGGGTCAGATCGGTGACCAGCAGCGCCTCTTCTATCTGCAAATCCACGTCGCCCTGAGCCTGCCTCCAGGGAGGGCGTCTAGGGCGGATGTGGTCCGCTACCTCCTGCAGAAAGCTACGGGGAACCTTCACCGTGGTCTGCGAGTAGGAGGCAGGGAAACAGGCAGGCAGGCAGGCGGGCGGGCAGGCAGGCGGGAAGGCAGGCAGAAAGGAAGGGAAAAGCAGTGGGGAAGGGCGGGCGAGTGAGTAGGGAGTGTGAGCAGTGAGTCAGTCAGATCCGTGACCAGCAGCGCCTCTTCTATCTGCAAATCCACGTCGCCCTGAGCCTGCCTCCAGGGAGGGCGCCTTGGCCTAATGTGGTCCGATACCTGTTCCAAGAAGCTGCGAGGAACCTTCACTGTGGTCTGATGGTCAGGGAGAGGGGCGGAAAGGGGCAGGCAGGCAGACAGGGTAAAACCAAAGAACTCACCCCAACTCCGTAGCCACATATTGGTGGGGTATGGTGTGGTGTGTCGATCGGATCTGACCTGACACTCTGGCACTGCTAGCTCATACACCAGTTCGTAGTATGAAGCGTCTCACTAGTTCAAGGTTTAACCCCTGCCTCCACGCTCTCTTCTCCTATGTGCGGCGCCATCACTCAAGCCACAAATTGTCGAAGCAGGTTGCCATACCAGGTAGCTCAGGAGAGAGAGGCGGCTCAGGAACCATGCAGTCTATAGCACTCACCCCTGCTTCCACGAATTCCTCTCCAATGAGCGGAGCCATGACCCGAGCCACGAACTGGTGGAGCAGGTCGATGCGATCCGGAGCCACTGCCAGCTCCAGCACCACTCTAAGGCACTATGGCAACAGTTCAAGGCATGAGTTGTTGTAAAGGTTAAAGCACTCACCCCTGCCTCCACGAATTCGTCTCCTAACAGGGGAGCCATGACCCGAGCCACGAATTGATGCAGCAGGTCGATGCGATCCGGGGCCACTGCCAGCTCCGGCACCACTTCTCCCCACAGCTCCCGCTCCTCCGGACGCAGCACAGGCTCGGGCTGCACCGAGCCTGCTGCCGATCCTGTTGCCGAGCTTCCGGATAGGGACTCCCCAGCCACGACCTCTGCTTCTGGATGGTGCGAATCCGGCCGTTCCTTGCACACCCGCAACACCATGCCTTTCTGGGTGGAGGAAGATTGGAAAGAGGGCGGGTGAAAGGGCGGGTGAAAGGGTGGGTGAAAGGGCGGGTGAAAGGGCGGGTGAAAGGGTGGGTGAAAGGGTGGGTGAACGGGCGGGTGAAAGGGTGGGTGAAAGGGCGGGTGAAAGGGTGGGTGAAAGGGCGGGTGAAAGGGCGGGTGAAAGGGCGGGTGAAAGGGTGGGTGAAAGGGTGGGTGAAAGGGTGGGTGAAAGGGTGGGGAGAGAGCAGGAGGGGGGGGAAGGACAGAGGAGCAGTGACAGAGGCTAATGTGAGTAACAAGGGTGGTGAGAATCAGGCCGTTCCTTGCACACCCGCAGCACCATGGCTTTCTGGGTGTGCAATAGGGTTTGGGACAACAGGGGGGGGAGAGAGCGGGGAGGGGAGAAAGCGGGGGAGCAGAGGGTGCGAGTGCGAGAGTCGAGGGAGGTGGGAATCGGAACGTTCCTTGCCCACCTGCTGCACCATTGCTTTCTGGGGATAGAAGGGGGTTTGGGAACGCAGGGGGGACGAGGGGGGAAGGGGCAGAGGGTGCGAGTGTGAGTGACAACGGTGGTGAGAGGTACAGCTGTTCCTTGCACACCCGCAGCACCATGCCTTTCTGGGTGGAAGGGGTTTGGGAAGAGGGACGGGTGAAACGGGGGGAGAGTGGGAGGCACAGTGGAGCAGTGGCAGGGGCGAGTGTGAGTAATAAGGGAGAGGAAAACCCGGATGCTCCTGGCACAGGCGTAGAACCACGTGTTTCTGGATAGAGGGGGCTCGGAAAGAGAGAGGGAGAGGGAGAAGGGAGAGGCGAAGGGAGGAACAGAGGAGCAGCAGCAGGTGCGAGGGTGAGTGACTGGCAGGAGTGGTGGTGAGAGATTTTGGTCGATCCTCACGCAAGGCTGACGACACTAAGCCTTTCTGAATGGAGATTTTTTTTCAAGGGTTACAATTTTCACTACGTGAATATACGTGAATATACGTGACTATACGTGACTTTACGTGACTATACGTGACTATACGAGACTATACGTGACTATACGTGACTATACGAGACTACACGTGACTATACGTGACTATCGTCTCTTTGCTAGTACGTTTCTTCCTACTGCCGCCCTTCTTCATGAGCACTGATCCGATCCTCTCCCCGCACGTCTGACAACACTATGCCTTTCTGAATACTGGGGGAGTTGTTGGGGAGGGAGGGGAGGGGGAAAGGGGTTAATGGGACAGTCGCAGGGGAAAGGGTGAGTGGAAAGCGTGGTGAGAGATTTTGGCCGATCCTCACGCAAGTCCAACGGCACTATGCCTTTCTGAATACCAGGGGAGTTGTTGGGGAGGGAGGCGTGGGGAGGGTAAATGGGACAGTCGCAGGGGCGAGGGTGATGGGAGGATCGTGATTTAGACCCGCACGATATAACGCATTTCTGGAGTGACTGCACTGTGCATTCTGCAAGGGGTGGTTATGTGCAGTATGCATTACGAGAATATAATATAGCAAGCGGGAGAAGGTATATCACACAACATGGTAGTCTGGTGGGAATCGAGAAATATTAAAGGTGAAAATTGAAGACGTAGGAGAGAGGACTTACGGCGGCAGTAAGAGACAGCAATCGTTGCTGTTGCGGTTGCTTCGTTTTGTTCCTTTCGTTTCTGATTTATCATATAATTTCATATCATTTTGTTCTCTCGTTTTTTTCTGTTTTTTTTTGTTGAAGTATGACGGCTCACCAGGGACGGATCATGGCCGCAGTAGGACATGACGATGTTCGCGGAACCTTCGCCGCGATACGCCCAGTCGAGCGGATTCAACTGTATTTTACTCCTACTAGCATCGTTCGCGCCGGCACACAGCGACTGCTTAGTTCCGACGATCAGTCCATTTGATGCTGGTGCCTCTAATATCTCTCCTGCTGCTATCCCTGCGGTTGCTGTTGCTTCGCGTGTCGCAGCACCCGCTGCGACTGCTGCGTCCGCGTCTGACGGCCCTACGCCAGTCGGTGCCATACGTGGCGAAGTACGCGGCGAAATGCGTTGCGATGTGCGCGATGACGATAACGGAACTTCGATCCGCGACCACAGAGCACTGCAACAAGAAACAAGCGCTTAGCTGGAGACTTAGGGCTTTCTACCGAAATAAGACACTAACGACCGAGAGAAGAACCTTGCAACGACTTCGAGTTCTATCAATGGAAATTAGAACCTGCAACAGGCAAGCAGGGATGGGGAGGATCCACGAAGGTAGCTGAGGCAGCAGGATCAAAATGTCCCAAGCTTTCATCATTTTTGTCATTCCCAACAGAGCAGCACTGACACATCATTATCGTTGCTGAGGGCTCTGCAGCTGTTAACGTACGCTGGGGTAGGGTTATCTACGTTTTAGAGCGGTATATGGTGCAGAACTTTTATATTATTGAGAAGGGGCACTTGTCGAGCCGACTCGGACGAAACTTTTGTGACATGTGAAGCAAGCATATTACTGGGCCGCTCCTAAAACGTGGACGAAACTTTTGTCATCAGTCAGTCCGTACGCCTGAAACAAAGCCGTAACGTACAAAATCATACCGTGTCGTACCGTACCGTGCCGTGCAAGGGCCCGTGTAATTATCGTCCTCCCAACTGTTAGGGCCCCCGTAAGCCTACTGCGCTAAGAAATTTAGGAACCTTTTCATAGTTAAGAATATGATATATGAATTACCTTAACTTCTATACGCTATTTCTTGGACTCACCAAAATGTTATTTCAGCATTCCTAGACTATGGCAACAGCGCACCTGCGCGTACAAGGGATGTTCTCGCGTTATATTCATAAAGATCACGCTGTAGTTGGGAGACAGAAAATCATTTTCCACTCAAGAAAATATTTTCTTGAGTAGAAAATGGAAAATCTCCCCAAGGTTTGCAAGGGTTTAGGAGGCAAAACTTACAGTGCCTCAGGCTAGATCAACGATTTCGCCTCCCTCATTCACCAGCTCCTTGCAAGTACCTCAACGGATTCTTGTTGACAACAAAGGGAAAGGGAAAGTCATAAATTGCATGATTCGGTACAACCCCCTCCGAAAACTTCAAGGGGCATTCGCTACAACCATAACTAGGATGAATCCTTTACGGATCCTGAGGAGGAACACAGGCCCCATTCACCAGCATCTGGAATGTCAGCACCGGCTTCAAGATCCTTTGGTTAGGGTTTAAGGTCGGTCAGCCCACAAAATTCCATCCGAGCCTAAGGATCCCATCCGAAACAAACGAAATCATTGGGACTGTCGAACACTCACCATTTTTTACGGAATCACCGGATTTGGAAGTAGCACTGCATCTTCGCTCTCAGCCAAGGCTTGCGACGGATGTCATTACACAGTCATGCCCCCCTCTACGTATGAATCAAACGAGACGGCTCTGATACTGGGGATGAAGGGTAACTTGAGTTTATAGCTCATAAGGGACAAATTGTTGAGATAGGAAAACGGGAATGATGAATGACTAGCAACCGGGAGATACAAGTATGAAACCCTAATAGGGGTTGTACCCTATACTGAGCACCTCACTATAGCCTAGCAGAACTAAGCACATACAAATATGTTTTGACACACCCTCCTAGGCAAAATGAGGGATAGCCAACACAACTAACGATGCCAACACAACTAACGATCACAATGTCAAACATATGTATATATATGTTATAGTTTGGGTAGGCTTAGTGGGGTACTCACTGTGGGGTACAACCCCTTAGGTTTCTCCTTTGTACCATCCTCTCGACAATTCAATTCCACTCATACCTATACTCTAAGATGGTATCTAGAGCCTAGAGGCCTTTAGGACCTAAGATTAGGGCCCACCCGTTACCACATTACCTGCCTTGCCTGCTACCCGCGCGCGCCTCGGCTGCACGCGCGCGGCCCCATTTTTTTTTCCGCGCGCGTCACTTAAGCAGCCCGCGCGCGGCCCGGTTAGGCTCGTTTAGGCCCAGTTTCGGCCCCGCGCGCCACGACAGCCGCCCACGCAGCCTGACGCCGGCCCGCGCGCCGCGTAAGCCGCCCGCGCGCAGCCCGCATAGGCCCTACACGCCGAATCTGCCGCCCGCGCAGCCTGCTGCAGGCCCGCGCGCCGCTTAAGCCGCCCGCGCAGCCTGCCGCCGGCCCATTGCGTCGCCTCCTCCGGTGTGTAGCCCGCCCCTGCTCCGCGCGCCGCCTTAGGAGCCAGCGCACGGCCTACTGCTGCACCGTGCCCCGCCTTAGGAGCCCGTGTGCGGCCCGTTGTTGCACCACGCGCCGCTTTAGAGGCCCACGCACGGCCCACTGCTGCCCTCTGTGTTGCCTTAGGAGTCCATGCACCGCCACAGCAGTCCGTAAGCCGCCACTGCAACCTTGCACGCAGTCTCTCCTTGCTTGCCTTTTGCCTTGCCGCCTGCGCACTCGACTTGCCTACACTGCACGCATGGCGACTCTTAACGTGCTCGCGTTCGATCCTGACGGTCGCCCAGTAGTGTTTTCCACCTGGCTTGACGACATGCAACTGTTCCTCATGACTGATGCCAAGGACGGTGTTTCCCTATTTGATTACGTGTCAGGCACTGCCGTTGCTCCTGCTGCCACTGAACCTACTCTAGACCGCTCCCAGTGGCAGACCCGCGATGCTGCTGCGCGCCTAGCTATTCGCAACCATCTGCCGATCACAGAGCGCGCACATTTTAGCCAGCACAAGACTGCCAAGGCACTGTACGACGCTGTAGTTGCCCGCTACTCTTCCCCGGCCACTGCAGCCCTCGGTCGACTTATGCTACCCTACCTGTTCCCCGACCTGTCCTCGTTTACCACCGCTGAGGACCTCATCTCTCACCTACACGCTAGTGACACTCGCCTTCGTGCCGCCCTTCCAGCCGAGTTCCTCACAGAGAACCGCCCCCCGATGTACTTTACTCTCTACTTCCTCATCACCCGCCTCCCTGACACTCTTCGCTCAGTCAGGGACCACTTCCTCGCCCTTGACCCCCATTCTCTCACTGTAGACGACCTCGAGAAGCACCTCCTCGCAGCAGAGAAGAACATCCTCGCTGTAGGTGCTGCTCGCGGTACTCCTCGCTCTCCCCTCTTTGAGGGGTGCTCCCCCTCCCCTCTTACCCCCTCCTATGCCTCCGCAGCTGCTGCTCTCGACTACCTTGGTGCTGAGGAGGTCGGGGCTGCTTCCGCTCCTACTGGGAAGCGCCGCAGCGGCAGGGGCGGCAAGGGTGGCAGGGGAGGTGGGGGTGGCGGTGGGGGTGGCGGTGGGGGTGGTGGTGGAGGGGGCGGTGGTGCAGGCGGCGGGGGAGGTGGAGGTGGTGGGGGTGGTCGTGGGGGTGGAGGTGGTGGAGGTGATTTTGGGGGCGGTGGAGGCACTGGGAGCAGTGGAGGTGGCAGCGGCGGTGGTGGGGGAGGAGGGAGCGGTAGTGGCAGTGGTGGTCAGGGGCAGCAGCAGCCGCAGCAGCAGCAGCAGCAGCATCCGCGCCAAACCCCCACTTCCCAGCAGCTTCTTGACTGGTATGCCGGGCGTGGGGCTTCTGGGGGTCCTGGTCGCTGCCCCTATCTCATTCGCACAGGTCCCCGCGCTGGTCGCCAGTGCACAGGGTTTCACACTGAGCAGCGCTGCTTCGCTCGGCTTAGCGACGCCTGGCGCGTCAAGTTTCTTGATGCTCCTGAGTTCCCCAACTGGGCAGAGCTGCTTAGGCGTGATGTACCTATCTTTGATCTTGACTATGAGGCTATTCTTGCTGCCATGTATGCATTGACTGTTAGTGCTGAGGGTGACTGCTACTTGTGTGTGCCGCCGGATCCTGGTATAGCCCCTGGTATAGCCCCTGCAGCACTAGGTGCTTGTGAGTTTGCTCCCCCTGGTACTGCGCCTGCACAGGCCTTGCACACCTTTACACTTGACTCTGGTGCTTCGCGCTGTTTCTTTCGCGACAGCACCACAGTCACTCCCCTCCCTGCACCTGTTCCTGTCTCACTGGCTGACCCCTCTGGGGGCGCGGTGCTTGCACGGTCTTCCACTGTGCTTCCGTGTCCGGCGGTCCCGTCTGGTGAGCTGTCTGGTCTCCACCTCCCCTCGTTCTCTACGAACTTGGTGTGCAACGCTGTCCTCCAGGATGCGGGTGTTGACACCTTCACCCCTGGCCGGCAGCGTGTGGCGATCTGCACGTGCTCCCAGACCGGCCGCCACCTGGCCACGTTCACCCGTGCGCCAGGGTCCAGTCTGTACACCCTCACCACTGCATCGCGCTCCACCCCTTTCTCTCCCCAGCTGCACGCGTCTGCTCAGGTAGCTACTCAGTGTGAGTGTCGCCGGCTGTCTCACGACACTCTCCAGGTCTTCCCAGGTCTCTGCCTGCCCTCCCTCCCTCGCCTGCGCCGCCCTGCATTCCTTGCGTCGATGGGCGGCAGCGCGCCGCTCCTCACTCCTCCTCGTTCCCTCCCACAGAGGCTCCACTGCAGACTCTCCACCTGGACGTGTGGGGCCCAGCCCGCGTCCGTGGACAGGGCCACGAGCGGTACTTCCTGCTGGTTGTCGACGACTACACGCGCTACACCACGGTCTTCCCCTTGCAGCGCAAGGGGGATGTCCCTGATGTTTTGATCCCCTGGATCCGCGCTACTCGTCTCCAGCTCCGCGAGCGGTTCCAGTCGGACTTTCCTGTCCTGCGTCTGCACTCTGACAGAGGTGGTGAGTTCTCCTCAAACCTCTTGGCAGCCTTCTGTGCGGAGCACGGCATCCGCCAGACTTTCACGCTTC